CTTCTAAATCGATTGGCTCATCGGCGCCGGCCGTCTCCGCGAGGCTTGGCACATCGGCTCCGGGCATCGGCTCGGTCGGCGCTTCTTCTGCGTCCTCTCTCGGCGCGAGCTCCGGAAGAAGCGCCACATCGGTGTCTTCGGCTTGGTCCTCAAGCTGTTCCTCTGCAATCTTTTCACTCGTAACCACCTCAGAGAACTATGTCTCTGACTCAGACTCCTTTCAAAGAAAAGCTGCATGCTGTGCTTCGAAATTTTTCGGACCAACTTCGCCCAGCCTCACAGGAAGCTAAGTCTTTTGTTGAGCCACTCCTCAGCACAAACGAGGACCCACTCCTCAGCACATTAGCAGACCTGAGTCAGAGATATCTTCGTTTTTCGAGTCGCGTTGGGAGGTCAAGTCTTTAACCCCAACACCTTTGAGAGATTTCCAGGCACCTTCGAAACCGAGACACAAACGAATTTCACCGAGGCACACAGGACCTGGCACCTCTGTGCCTGGCACCTCTGTGCCTGGCACCTCTGTGCTGCTGACCTCAATGCTGGAAAGGTGATGCCGTGAGATCTCCTGCAAAGCAGAAGAAACGGAGAGGGCAGCAAGCAGTAGGCCCTGGCAGCAGGCCATCAGGCCATTGAAATTCTACCTATTCCGAGTCTTTTCTCTCCTTCACCGAATTGATGTCGATGGCTTCCTGGGACTTGTGCCAGGGCCAGGTCATGCCAGGACACCTCAGGCGTTCTGAAGCCACAAGTGGCCGCACACGGCAGCTCCTTGGCAGCTGCCCATCGCAAGTTAAACCACAACATCCACAGAAATCTCGGCAGATTGACTGGAAGCCTTGCACCCAATTCAAGACTTCACTTTATGATCATGATTCAGAAACAGTATGGGAGACTCTCCAATACTGGGACAAACACTGCCACGCCCAATGCCAGCTCGCTTTCCAGAGGTGCAGCAGCATTGGAGCATCGGCGGGGAGGTCTTAAATCGCCCGCTTCTCTGGGTTGGAGGCCATTGCTTCTAGGTCGGAGGCCCTTGCTTCTACATATGCAGGTGGCATAGATTCCCCTGCCCAAAGAAGGGCCTCGGACAGCGATAGCCTCCAACCTAATAGCAATGGCCTCCAACCTAAACGCGATGGCCTCCAACCTAGAAGCGATGGTCTCCAATCTAGTAGGAATGGCCACCAACCTAGAAGCGATGGCCTCCGAGGTATTTACAACCAGCCCCTACAGCACGGAGCCAGTTGTGCCTTGTGCTGTCACTGCGGCATCCACAGTGCCCCAAGCTTCCATCTCCAGGGATCTGGGGTGTGGCAACCTTTACATCTCCTTTATGCCACTAGGAACAAAAAGCTACTGGGGGCTCCTGGCATCGCTACTAGGAGCAAGGACGCTACTAGGGGCTCCTGGCATCGCTACTAGTAACAAGAAGCTAATAGAAACAAGAAGCCTTGTGCTCTCAGCTGACGATCCACTGGAGGTTTGGGAGGCACCTTCGGTCAGGAAGTTCAGCTGCAGGCCAATGTGCCCTGAGGGAGCTGGCTCAGCCTTCGTCTCAACCTGCTGGATATCCGCATCTCCGTCACAACCTTCTCTGCCCTGGAAGCTTTAAGGTGGAGGCCATCGCTAGTAGGTTCTTGTACTCTGCCCGCTGCAGCGGCGATTCCAAGCGCCAACGTCGCGACGGGATCAGAGGGTCAGCTACAATCTAATACTCTGGCAGCACTCAGTAGTTCACAGGCTCCTTGCCCAAAGGTTCGGATGTCGCTTTCGCTCAGAGGCGGCAGAAGTGTGTCACATCCTCTGTACAGTACATCCTGGCTCTAGACCCAGCGTATTGAGCACATCTCTGGCGACGTCTGCATCACACAGCATGCTCACTTTGAAGGGCAAGGCTCTCAGCGAGCTTTGGTCAGCAACCAAAGTGCGGAAGAGAAACTAACTTGCATAATATTGCTACAAAATCTGTTCTTCAGGCACCTGCAATTTGAGATACTGAAACGTTACTGAAACTTGCAAACAACCGCAAGAAGCTCTCGGCTCTCGCACAAACCAGAGATTGAAGGAACCACACTGCATGGCGACCCAACGAGGGAAGTTTTGGGTCCTCGCAAATGTTGCCTACCAGGTCAAGGACTTCGGTGTTGCGTGGAGAGGCCTCCTGGGCTGCCTCCTGGCTTGCGACAATGATCTTTCACAAGAAGGATTGGACAAAGCTGCTACCAACAAGACATGTTGTTTCATGGTCATTCTGAATGATTCTTCCATTCTGTCGGTTTTCGCAAACTGCCACACCACACGAGATGCCGACCAAAGATCCGCCTGTGCCAGGTTCAAGATTTCCCGCATCGCGGCAATCTCGCCTCGCGCGGGCGAAATCGGATGAAGGACGCAAACGCGCAAAATGGTGGGAGCAAACCAGTCCACTCAAAAGCAGGAAACCAATGAAAGATGTTGCAACAAGCCCTGGTCTGTTCACTTCGGCTCTGAACATATTCTCGCATGACTCTGACTCTCTCTCTCTATATATATATATACAGTATTCCGTGCAAAGGTGGCACTGCTCCGCCATTTCTTTGTGCCAAGTGTCTCTGGAGATCTTGCAGCAGCCTGGATGAAATCTGCGCTGGCTCAGCTTCCTGGACAACCCTGCACAGGTTCGGGCAGAGACTGTGGGGGCGTCGTGTTCTCTTTTTTCAAAAGAGCTTTAAATCGTGCCGTGCCCGCTGCCTCAAAAGCTCATCATCCTCATGAGTGGCCATCTTTAAGTCCTCAAGCAAACCTCAGGGATCACGTTCCTATTTTTCTCCCGTTCCTTCGCATGCACCTCTGCTACAGCTGAGGAGAAGTCGAACGCACTTCTGGGCGGAAGACACGGCTTTCTGGATCAGCACACTGTCCTTCTCTAGAGCACATCTGGTGCAAAAAACTGACAAAGGGCATCGCTAGGAACAGAGCGATCGGACGCTACGAACGTAGCTCCTGGCATTACTACTAGTAACAAATCGCTACTAGGGACAAATGGCATCGCTACCAGAGCCTCTTTGCATAGTTGGGCGAGCCGCTCCAATTTGATCACCTTCAGAGACAGAAGGAGAGAATAGATCATCAGCGAGGGATCAGCAATGCTGGCACTTGCGCCTGATCGAACAAGCATCCTGTATTTGCCAAAGTGCTAGCTCCGTCATGATAAGCCTCCAGAATAGCTGGGAAACATGCCCAAAAGAAACAAAGGTCGAACGCGAAAGTCCAAGTTTGCATCAAGGCCTGCTCTTCCTCTTGGGCTTCCTGTGCTTCTTGTTCAAGTTGGATTCTCCTTCGCTCCTCCTGTTTCTCAACCACATTCTCCTTCAAATTTGTCCTGTGCCGCAGAATGTCTAGCAAATCCTCCACCACTGAAAGGTGAATGATTACATGCCGAGGCTCACAGCAAGATCCTGCTTGTTGTGAACGCGTGTGCCTGACGTCTTGGGATGCATGGCCTAGTAGTCGACTTTGTCAGACTTAGCCTAGAAGACTGAGTTGAGGAAAAGCAATGCAGAAAAAAGGAAGGTAAGGTCCTTCACGAAGGTAAAGTAGCAGGTTGGGGAGCCTTGTTGAAGAAGATCTTACCTTCCTTTTCTGCCTGCTTTCTTTCTGGACTCAGTCTCTTTATGGGAATTGTCTTCCAAGCCTAGCCTGCCACAACAGACTTGACCAGCAGCATCTTCACAGGTTCTGCCGTTCGATGCTGATTGGACCTCCGTCAAGTCTTAAGGCTACACTGGCTGCTAGGTCATGCTGCTACGCTATGCTACACTCATTCGACCCGTTCCTGCCAAGGAGCAAATACGCGCGGGCATGCGTGAAGATGCTCCTTCTGGCAGCCACCGTGATCTTCGGTCCTTGCAAAACGACTGGCCTCAGCCTGGGAGCCTAACTTCACCGGACAGCGCAGTGAAGCGCGGTCCGTCCTGCACTTTCGAGGAGTTCTGGGACCAGAGTCTTGATAGATGGAGTCACCTTTTGGCTCAAGGGGGCCAACTTTTGAGCCTTCTGCCATTTGTTCGACCTTGGACGTCATCACACTGTCACAGTCTGGACGGTCACGCCCCAACTGGCAGATCACCGGGCCACCCTGCACACCACGACCCTGCACAGCGGCGGTGGCCGACTGGAAGCGCTTACCTTGGATAGATAGGTCAAGCGGGTCGCAAGTGCGTCCCTTGCAGTTGAGTGTTGAAGCTGGGCAGACGATGTGACCAACGTTCAACAGGAAAAGGCTCGTCTACTACGAAGGCATCTGCAAAACGAGCAGCTAGCGGCGCTTTTCCCATGCATCCTGGCACAGGTGTGTAGCACCGCGACGCTCAAACACGCTTCAAACAGTCCACGCGCATAGCACCGTCCAAGTTCTACGACACAACCTGAGTTGTCACGCCTTGGAGCGCTTTCTTGGGCTCATGGCGCGCGTGAAGCCATTGCCTTCATCCCGCCCTTGAGCCAATAGTGCGAGAATAACCTATTTGATTAGCGATGGCCTCCAACCTAAGAGCAATGGCCTCCAACTGCCTAGATGAGTAGTTGAGCAGTTTGAACCTCTTTCTTTTTTCGCCTCTGAAGATTCTTCCCTCATTGCGCAGGAGTTTGCCTGGGCACCGTGCCCTGTCCAGGTAGATTTCTGCCACAATGGTCCCTGATGCATCTCCGCGCATGTTGGATGATCCTTTTGATAAATAGAGGCCATCGACTAGGCCATCGCTAGTAGGTTGACGCCCATCGCTATTAGACTTGACTTGCTTGGTCGTGTTCACCAGCCTTCCGAGGTCTCAATGGTAGCGCTTGGATTCGCCATGGAATCATGCTGATGTTGTATTGAATGCAACTAGGACCACTCTGTGATTTAAGAGGGTCGTTTGCATTGCCTCAACGGGTGTCCGACTTTGAATGGAAATTCTGTGCTTAGGCCAATTGCCATCTCTGTACCCATGTCTGGGTGCTGTGTCACCTGATTCTTCCATGGCATCGAAAGCTACTCGGACGGAGATGGCTGCAGAGTCTCTCCTGTGGTGTTTAAACTCTGACGCGGGACATGCTGCATGTCAACAGTCAACAGTCCGAAAGACGCTGGTGAAGGGGCTGTTCATTTTCCGCTACGCAATCCTCCATGTTGAAGGAGGGCGCTGTCATTGGTTGCGGGACAGCATCTGGTAGAACTCATCGAAGGTGATCTGATGCAAAACCAAATCAAAACATGGTTTGGTGGCGGCTGCACCCCAAAACAAGCCTCGCCACTGCCGTTGCCATCACAATACGCGACCTGAGCGGTAAGTCAGTGGGATTTCCATAGCTTCCAAGACCGCTTCCAAGACCTACTAGTAGTTTCTGGTTACAGGTGAAACGATTCCCAGTGAAACGATTCCCTATTGGAAGTTTCAAAGACAAACTAGTAGTTTCTAGTTACTAGTAACTTATGATGTCTTCTTGAAGAGCTGAATGATGGCTTCGGGCCATGTCTCGGAGCTCCTCCACGGATAGTTCCAGGCCGAAATTATGCACAGCTCGGCTCAGATCCTGAGGATTGAGGCTGTGATGAACGCCCAAACTTGAAAAAACAAACATCCAGGGCAAGACTGCGGCAAGTATGCTCAGCTCATTCTGTCCTCTATGTCCAGGTGGCCCTTACGGTTCTCATCCAACAAGCGCCAGGCTCTTCTCACACTTTCCTCTTCGACAGGGCGACGAACCCGTGTGATCAGCTCATGAAAAATCGACCGTCGATGGTTTGCTTGAACCTATGGGGTGCTCTTCCTCCGAACATGCAAAAATACCATACGAAAAGCAAGATGAAGCCAATTCATGCGCGTGCCTGGGTCGGCTCGGCAGCTGTCAACAGCGGTGCGATGGCGTCCATGAAGCCTCTCATGTCATTCTGAAATCTCCAAGCTGTTCCACACATGGTTAAATTTCCTTGTTGAAGTGAAAAGCAACCTCCTCAAAAATAGGAGAGCTCGAAGTTATGTGGGTGTGGTTTCTACGCGTTTTTGTGATGCTTTTCTTAGTTTTTGTATGCTTTGAAAGAGTTTCTACGGCTGCGGTCTAGATATGTTCTTGTGCTCCTGTTTCCCAAACAAAACCATTTTCTGCTTTTTAAAAACAACTTCTGGATCCGACTCTGCCCTTCCTTGCCCATAAGCATTCTCATTGTTTCAAAGGTAGCAGCACTTTTTGGGCTTCTCCCTCCACATTCTTTATGAAACGGGCTTCTCCCTCCACATTCTTTATGAAATGGAGAGAAGATCATTATCTTGAAACACAATGTGCCCACCAGGCCCAACAAAAGTTGAGAAACTTGCTTAGTAGTACTGGACCTGGATGACTGATTGGAATTGGGCTTTGCATGGCCTTCTTGACGCCCATACCCATAATAAGCCTCATCCTCATTCTCAGGGTAATAGGGAACCATTCTGCGAGCATTGGGAGTTCACATCCTATCCCACAAGTTCGATTGGACCAATACTGCTCATCTCCACTGCTCTCACCCAATGGCTCTTCAGGTCTATGCTCTATATCCCCCATCTACGATGAAATCTTCCAAAGAACCTTATGAAGCCCATGGAACGATCCAGCCATAGATACACTAAGGGTCTGAATTGGCTGTGTGGCCACTACTCATTCCCAAGCTCATGAAGAACCTTCTCTTCACCCCAACCTTCTTGCCCACACATAGACATACATGAAGTCAGGTTGTACCAAACCTGGCATACTCAGCATGCTCCCAATGTTCACCCAACATTGCCAAGGACATTCTTTCTTGTGATGCCACCCAAGCTCAAAACCTCAACACCAACCCAAAAGTAAACCGATAAATTGCGCAAAAAATATGCTCTACCAATAGCATGAATCAGGAGGATCAACCAATGTTGTACCCAAATGGTTCTGATCTTCCATTGGGCCACCTAATCGTGCGCACAAACCCATTTGCACCAGGCATTCCATGGACCCCATCCCCATCATTGATTGCCCAGCAAGTTCCCCACTCACATGGTGCCCATGTGCTCTTGGAGGCCAAACAAACCCAATCGAAGCACCATCCATATTGCGCTGCTGTCTGGGGCATTTCCTCAATGGCTTGTATAGCAATACAATTTGCTCAAAGTCAGGGTCCCAATCGCTCATGCCCAGGCGTTGCATCTATGCAGCCGCCTTTGGTCCCAAATGAAATTGCATACATACAGCCACAAGCCCAACGCCAGCTGTTTGATGCACCCAATGCTTCATCTCATCTCATCTTCATTGGATATCTTAAGCCATCAAATCAAGACACTCTTCCACACTCCACCATTGAGACCATACAGTATAGGTATCCACCCTCACCACATAGAGCCTGAACCCCCCCATTTCTGATATGCAATGATCCAATTGGCATGGCTCTGATCTGTCAGATCTCTCATCAAGCTTTTGCAAAAATACTAGTTGCCAGCTCTCATGATTCCCACACAGAAGTCCATCAACCATCATCTATCAGCAAGTCCACGACATCACATCATACATCATCAGGCCATCTCCTCTATGAGGGGAATCTGGTCTCCAAGACCTCCAATCTCAGTGAGCCCTCAATCTCCAGCAACTGGGCCTGCCGGACTTCTCCCGGGGAGGGCGGGGGGCGATAAAAATAGAAATTGCTCGTGGAATTGGACAATCATTTTTTTATGTTTTTTGCGCCCCCCCCCACAAAGAAGCCCGGGCCCAGGCCCAGTTGCTGGAGATTGAGGACTCATTGAGATTGGAGGTCTTGGAGACCAGATTCCCCTCATAGAGGAGATGACCTGATGATGTATGATGTGATGTCGTGGACTTGCTGATAGACGATGGTTGATGGACTTCTGCGTGGGAATCATGAGAGCTAGTATTTTTGCAAGAGCTTGATGACAGAGTACAAGTTGACATGTTTGTTAGACACGTTCGTCAAAACAACCAACACGTTCAAAAAAACGCAGAAAACCACAAACCACAAAAACGCGTAAATACCACACCCGTATAACTTCGTTTTCTGAAAAATAAATATACCGTTAAGTTCAAGATCTCTGGAATTCCCTTGGTAGGCCAATGACACACGCGACACGATGACGATCGTGAGCTCGGCCCACTTTTCCATAGACTTGAGCCAAATACAGTCCGTGAAACAGGGCAACGCATGGCCCAACAGCTGGAAATGCATACATAGCTATTTCCGTGAGAATCTCAAATTCCAGTGTAGCGTCCCCTAGTCGCTATGCTAGTTGACCAAAAGCTACATGTCTTCGAATCTTCCACATGACAAAAGACCTCACTCACACTCAGTCCAAGTACTGGTGGCTGTAGGCATGGTTTCACATGGAGGAAGTTTTCTTATACGAAAAAGACTGTAAGGAACCTAAATTTAATAGCGATGGCCTCCAACCTACTAGCGGTGGCCTCCATCCCACAAACCAAAAACATACGCAGCCTACCTTCCAAATTCCGAGTTGCGAAGCTTGGCGCCTGCAAAGTCCATCTTGTGACCTTTCCGGCGGCAAGCACGAACCGCCACCATCAAGGGCTCCTGCTCAAGCCTCCATGTCATGCAGCGCAGTGAAAACATCTGTATGTATATATATATATATTCTTTTTTGCACTCCGTGAAACCATCATGGAAGTAGACACCACCTGTTTGTGGAGGAAAATTGTCATAGCCATGGGGCCACGCCATCCAATTTCATGATTCATGATTCTTGCAGGGAGTGTAGCGGGTTTTTGGTCACGGCGCGGCCTGTCCCAGCCGAGGTTTTCCAGACTGTCGATGATGTCCTGTGGCCGGAAACGCGCTCAAACATGTCAGCCCATGATGGCATCCAGGTATGCCACCGTTCCCCCAGGCAAACAAGCAAACCGAAGCACCTCCAAATGAATCCTTCCTCGGCCTCGGAGAGAAACTGCAAGGACAAAGCCTTGCTGACATGTCCCTGTCGTTTCGCTTTGACAAGCTGGGGCTGACTTGAAGTGAGGCCCGTCCCAATGGAAGACTCTAGACTCTAGGCTTGCAAAAAGTGAGTATCCAAAGTGCAGGTTGTCTCCGACAGATCGATGTTCTTCGGTCAGTCACGCCGAGGGTGGCCATGTGGACAGGCCCATCGCTATGACGGAAGGCGGTCATCCTCCTCAGCATGGGGAGGCCAAGGCGAAGTCGCCTACCACCATGCCGTGCTTCACGGGCAGCTTTGTTGCCCGTGGAGGCTTTGCTGCGAGGCCCCTTGCCATCGGTTTCTCTCCAACTGCTTGGGTTTGACCTCACCGAATGGCCAGTGGCACTGCTGGCACTCACACCGTTCAAACCTGACCGATGCTGCTCGACGCTGCCGAAACCTGCTGGGCACGAAGTGGACCGCAAGATGCCCAGCACGGGGTCAATCCGTGAGTGGACCAACGAACGCCCTGTGCAACGCCACAGGAACCAACTACAGCATAGGAATTGCATTGAAATGAGGCAAGCGAACATATATGTTGAAGGAACCAACCCTACAGGGTGGAAGGCCTTGTTCTGTTCCTTTCATGTTGAGAGCGGCACCATCAGCATCAAGGAGATCAAAGGCCGCTTTCATCTCACGGACCTCCGCCTGCAGCACAGGCTTGCATTGTTTTCATCTCCCCCGAACCAATAAAAATACATTTCGAGCCTCAGTGATGCCAGGCCTCACATAATCCTGGAGAATGCCCCAACTTCTCCCGCAAATGAAACGTGTCTTAAAAAAGAAACTAAACATTTTTTGACGCTACTAGTGACAAGAAGCTGCTAGTAGTTCCCGGCATTGCTACTGGTAGCAACAAGCTACTCGGGTGAGGCCATCGCAACTAGTAACAAGAAACTACTAGAAACCACAGGTGTGGTTTGGTTGGCCGCGCCTGCGGATCAAAGTCTTGAGTGACCTCTTCTTCAGCCTTCCTGAGCCATTGGACTGATACGAGCCTGTTGTTGCACGCTTGGCAACGTAGTTCATGGGTAGTAACGTTCATATGCTTGAAAATTTGAAGTCTGGCGTGGTCACGACGGACCAACTCAGTAGCGGCACGCGATGACCGCATCAAGCTCTTCTTCCTGCCTTGAACAGTGCCAGAACATGCTTTGTTTCCCATGACAAACGCCATTCAATGACGAGTTGGCTGCGTGCTCATTGCATCTGGGATCTAGGCACGGCTAGAACTGTACGACCTCGTCTCGCCTGAGCAGACTGTTCTTGCGATTGGTTGGGCAAACAATGGCAAACACAATTTCACAAAGTTGTGTTTCCAAACATCAAATCAACACACCAACAAGAATGCAAATCACCTTTGAAGAGGCCTGGCAGTCTGTTGTCTCTTCTGTGATATTCAGGCCCCACAAAAGGAGTAGCACAATAGAAAACAAAAGGATAAGTTTCGTGCAGGAAAGACTTCAGTGCTGTCCGTCATCAACCTGCGAAAACAATCTTCTGCAGGCAACGCGTTTTTTGCCCACAATTCCACATCATCAAGACTCAAGAGCACATTTTGTGGCGTTTATTGGCCAGCTGTGCTGCGAGTTTGCCAAAATGATTGCATCAAAAAACGTAACACAATGGCACTGTGAAACTATTTCCTTGCTAATGTCCGCGCCTGCCACATTCTCAGCGCACCGCTTTGGCATTTTTGGTGTGGGTCTTTGGAATTTTGCTTTATAACGCTGACTTCGGGGAGTTGCGTTCAATGGCCCCACACTTTGACAATTGCAATACACATGGGTGGGATGAAGAGACTGCAAGTTGAAATCGTGAACGCGCATGGCGCATGCTTCAAGATGATGCAATGAGCCTCAGCTGGCCTTGGCGGCGAGCCAGGTTCAACATCTGGAGATGGTTCTCACTCAACGTGTGTTGCCCTGACCAAGATGAACATGCACACCCAATTGCTCTTGGGAATCATGTTCGCACGCTTAAGTGCTTTGGATTAATTTTTGATCCCCAACGGGCATTGGAAGGGTGAACTCTATGGGTCATAAGGAAATGAAACGCGCAAAGCAGTGCGAACGCTCCGTTTCCTTCAAGGCGGTTTGGGCCTATGGCCAGTGTGTGTGTGTGTGCGTGCGTAAACCCTGGTGTCATGATGATTTACCTGTTTCCGCCTATCAAACATGGCCCCTTCATTACGACACCGCTTGCAATAACATTACGCATTTTGCGTCCTTCCAATATGGGCACCGGCTGTCAAAACGAACCACCTGCCCACCGAAGTGTCCGCACATGCTGAGCATCTGCGCTTCAGCCCTGCAAAGCGGCCCCTCCGTCTTTGTAAACATTCCACAGGATTCATCTCTTTGCGCTCGCGCCGTCTTTCATTTTTCCACATGTTCGACCACCTCCTCAACTCCAAGCAGTTTTCTGCACATTTTCTCTTGCGCCTCTTCCATTTCATTTTCATACTTGTGCACCACAGGTGTGAATCTAGCAACTCTGTTGCCTGTGTCCGTTGATCACACCTCTTGATTTGCCCGTTGTTGTAGTTCTCGATCTCCTGGTTCATCTCGGTCACATTCCCTGCAAGTTCTGCGTGTAGTGTCCGATCAGACCCGAAGCCAACGCTATTGCTCAAGGCCACAATCAACGCGCACAAGACTATCCAAACATGGTCCGTGGCCTCGTTCTCCTCAATGCCTCCTGCTGGGCTTCCTGCCACTGAGCTTGTCCTACTCATCAGGAGCAGCTAACAAATCCCGTCCTTTGTCTTCATCTTCTTTGCGCCTCTTGGTCATCGAGATCATGGTGCTCACCACGGCCAGTTCTGTTTCCAACGGCGTTCACAACCTTCATCACATAACAACCTCTATCGTTCACGCGCACTGTCACAGTCAGGCACATGTTGCCTTGCCGCGTGAAAAACTGTCAAAACACGGTTGCACCCTTTTCTCTTGGGCGCGAACGCCACTGTGTACATACAAGTTTGTGCTTGTGAACCGTCATGAGCGTTCTCATGATTGGGTATGGTAAAGTCTCACACCCTGCCTTGCGGCTGAATGATTCATTCACCCCACTTTTCCTCGAGACTTAAAGTCACTGAACTGACTCTGGCGGCCAGGAGGTTTCTTAACTGAAACCACCAGTGTCAAAAGTTCACCCGCTCACTTCATTGCCTTGCGTCATTGGGCCCTGGCGCGTTTTCTTTGTCCTCTTCCTCCATGTCATTGTCGCTGATCGCCTCAAGGAAAGTCATTCTCCTCATGTAGGGAGGTTTGCCATAGGTTGTCCCCTTCACCAAGTAGTTCCAGTCCAGCCACCTGGAATGGCATCAGCTTCTTCAGGTAGTACTTGGAACATTACCTCTTCGATGTTCTCAAGCTCTTCCTCTGCCGTGAAACCATGTCCTTCTTGGCGTTGATCTCGAACTTCTTCTGCTGCATGGCTCCCTGCCGCTTCCATGTTGTTTGTTGCTCTTTCAATGGCTTCTCTTTCAAGCCGTTGCAGTTTCTTGATGAACCTGAAACTTCTCCTGGGTCCATTCTCTGGTTCAATCATCGATTGCTTCTAGGATCTCCTCACGCAAGAGCCTCAGCCTGCCAAACATGTCTCCATTCACCACCCCGCGCTGTGTCATCGCTGTGTCCAAGATCTGACTGATGAGGTTTGCAAGCTCATGGCCTGCATGCACTAAATGCGCCTCAACTCCCTCACCACGTACCAGCATCTGCTGCCTGTACCACTCAAAGGTCGCCAGGTCAACTGGAATCATACCGTAGAGCTGGTCCTCCTTATAGGAACTTTTGCTATTAACGATCATCTCTCCAAGAGGTCTGCTTGCTGTCTCAAGCATAGCCCATTGCTGATTCTCAATGTCCTGGGCTCGGTTTCAAGCACCTTCTGTCTCCCATTCAAAGTCCAAAAAGCACTTCTGAACTTTCGCTTGAAATCTCTGGGATCTCTTCTTCTTCTCCTCCTTCTTCTTCTCCATGACCTTCTCCTCCATGACCTGAGCGTCCATGGTCCATGGCTCATGTCAACCGCCCGAAGGTGTTAAACTTCTCCATGATCGTCAGCTTGTTGTTGTACCCTTCGAACTTGTCCATGATGTAGATGTCAATCTCCATGGTGCCCAGGATGGTGATCATCATCTTCTGGCTCTGGTTCAGGTGCATATTCTGGTCTCATTGCACCAGGTGAAGCTTCTTGTTGCAAGCGTCTCTTCATGGTCACCACTTTGTCCAGCCTGTCTGAAAACAGCAAATCGCTCTTGTCCAGGTTGGCTCTCTTCTAGGCTCGGCTCTTCACCATGAGGTTCTTCTGGAACTTGTTCATGGTGCTCTTGTTGATCTTGTTCATGGCGTTCTTGTTCTGCTGCTTCTTCTGCTGTTCTGCTGTGTTCTTCTGTGAAAAATGTCCATCAAACTTCTCTCAAACCTGGATGGAACAACATCTTGCCATACACCTTGTAGCGCAATTGTCTGGTGCCAAACCTGAAGTGAATGGTCCGCTCTCTTGTGAAGTCGATGTCGATGATGAAGAACTGCTGGGATTACTTGGTCGTCGAAGATGTCGTTCTGGCCGGAGTCGTCGCGTCAGCTCCTCGAAACACTCTGTGAGAATCTCAGCTGTACATGCTGCAGCCTGATCCCATATATGAGGTAGGCGATCCGAAGCATCAACGCCATCATCATCACCATGTTCCTGACCGTGAGGTAGTCGTGCCACGTGCCACCTTCACCTGCCAGGACAGTTGGTTCACACCCTTGTAGCCACACAACTGCTACATCTCCACGCTAGTTTGAAAACCTATCGGGATCAAAGCCATCAGCTTCTTTCGGCGCTTTTGCGAAAGCTTCTTTGTGTTCAAATCTGACGGGTTGATTGCTGTTGGAGCCCTGCGCAATCGAATGATCTTCTCGCGAACCATATCTTGAACCCACAGGTTGCGAACGCGCATGTGTTTCAGCTCTCCTTGCCCTGCTCGTTGAATGTTTTTGCCTCGGGCAGCTGAGCCGTCACTGTATGCTGTCGTCTGGATGTCTCCTTCAATCAGGAATCTCAGCAAACTGCCATCGTGTAGCAAGTCTGCAACGCCACTGCAGCTCGCGTAGGACTCTGCCTCTGCACTTGTTAGCGCTATTGAGCTTCGCAGCTTGCATGAGAAAAATGGTCGTTCATGAAAATCCTGTATGAAGTCGTTGACTTTCTCGACACTTTGCGTCCTGCCCAGTTAGCATCTGTGAACGCTTCCAGGTTGAAAGGTTTTCGATCTTGCCTGTTCCTCCACTCTGCGTAGTCCCCGTGATCACGTGTGATCTGGTACATCTTGGTGTGTCATTCAAAAAGCTTGCTAGGTGCCGTAGTGCTGCGAAGGCTACCTTATACATGGGTTGAGAGTGTCTTCAATGCCTGTTGGACGTCTGGTCGATCTTGCGCTACGTCTGTAAAGCGCTAGTCCGAGACCTGAATGGAAAATCCGTTGTCCTGAAGGGCATCAAGTCGTTCGTTGTCCTTGATTTCATCCTTGTATGGCGTAGACCTTTAAGCTTGAATGGCGTGGTAGGCTCTTTGCCTTCACTGCAGCTCCAACAAAGTAGTCTCCACTGGGGGTGGTCGACACAATCTAAATGCTGTGGTCATGTTCTCCTTCTTGGGTGTGTCCTCACAGAATTCAACCGTTTGCCGCCATCTCCGGGCTGGTCCGGTGAGTTCGTTAAGCTCTCGGGTGAAAGTACTCCTGAACATAAAGCGTTCTCCCCAAGTCACCTTGGTGTCATAGAACTTTCTGGAGAGGAGTTTGATGAAGACCATCTCTACATCGCAACGCCGCCATAGGTCTGTCTCAATGCCATGTCCTTCCTTGCTCTGAACCATCATGCGAAAATGTAGTGGAATCTGAGGTTCCTCTTCATCTTTCTCACTGCGCCCTCAATTCCACGATTTTTCACTGGGATTGCTGTTTCTGGGTCTGGTGGGCAAAGTGGGAGTTTGCTCTTCTGGTTCTCATCATGGCTGATGCCACAGACTCCATGAGCCTGTGAACCTGCGCCCAAAGGAAACTTCTCGAACCACCTCGACGATCCGCATTCAGTCCAGAAAGTTCCTGGAAGGAGGTCCTGCGCCCAAAAGCATAAGACTAACCTGACTGAACTGGCAAGCCCACGACTATCAGGAGGATGGCAGCTGAGGGGCCTTTCAATGGTCCAGCATTCATTCCCCGCCGTTGCTTGGGCATACTCCCCCGATGAGCGATGAAGAAACGTGTCTGCGGCACATCCTGATTGAGAAAATGAAGAGATGCAGCACGGCTATGGAGGTCACTGGAGGTCTCACAAATTTGCGCTTTTCCGCCGCGCGGCTTCGAGCCACTATTTGGCAGGTTCAATCTGATAAGAGCAGATACTACACAGCTGAACAAGCGTGTGTGTCGTTCTTGCTCCACTACGCTATCTTTCGTCACCCCGCCTTAGGAACACCTGGTCTCTCAGGCGTTCCTACCTTTACATGCTCTCCCTTTGTGAAACTTGAAGTGGCTTTTTCTTTCAGTCCTGCAACTCAATCTCCAAAAGTCTAAATTCGACCATTTTGGTCATTGGTGTCTCCACCATCTTGCACATCTTCGTTCTCTTCATGCTCGCTCTCTGCGTTCATCGGGCCATAGTTCATCTCAGCTAGTCTGGGTCTTCGCTCTCTTCCATTGGCCCGCCGAGGCCCG